CAAAGACGAAAGGGAGAACGTCTCCGGAGGAAGCGAAACATAGGATCCCCGCGGCGCGGTACCTTCTCCAGACTGGGTCTTAAAAATCGAGTCAATTTAAGGACTCGGCCGCGAGCAAGATACAGAGAAACGCGTATATGCATGCGATTCTTCAAGAATCTCCCTCGCGAGGATGAGAATTCATTTAAGCCCGGAACGAACATCGGATCTTTTTGCGCTATTTATGACGGCCCTCCTGCGTTATACGTTTTTATTAATTATAATCCCTTATTAATCACGAGAACAAAATTCTACGTTTGACCACGATATTTGATATGGAACCGAAATTAATAATTTAAAATCTTAAAATGTTGCTATAATAATATAATAATAAATTAAACATTAGACCGTAATGTAAATACACTGCTACACAATTAAGTGACTTATTAATCTTAGTGCTTTAAACGATATTTCGGTGTGAATTTATTGTATATACATATATCCTTATATATATGTTGTGTAAAGTGCGATTCGAATTAATTTTCGGTCTCGAAATGCAATCTTTAATTAAAATTGCAAGGATAGTAATATCACAAATGAAATTAACAAAAGTAATGATGCTAATAAACATTTTACCAAATATATTTGCACAAATATTTTCCCACAATAGTGCTTCGTTTTTTCGCGGAAATCCATATTACGAGGGTTAGTCATTATTCATTGATTGACAAAAATCTTGTCGATAGTAAGCGAACCATCGTGATCAGAACATTTCATTCGTTTAACGAAAAAAGATGAGAAGCGCATAAAAGGATGAAAGATCTAACCGCGAGAAACGAGGCAGGATAAATTGAAAAAAAGAAGAGATTCAAGGGGTAATTTTAGTAGACGTCATCGATCTAACCTTCAGGAAAGGCGTTCCAAGGGGGTCCCAGAGTTTTATTTTCAATGAAAGAATTTTTAAGCCCTTTCCCAAATTTAAGTCTACTCCTATCATGCTCGTCTCTCGTTTTCCTTATTCCTCATCTATTCTCAGGGTTTACTTGCGCGAATAAAACTCATCCTATCTACCTGATGTCTGCAGATTATATATATCCCCGCGGGGTGAAAATCCTGAAAACAAACTTTACTTGTATGCGATGGAATTATCGAGTCGTTTACGATTAGAATTTTATTTTTTTAACAGTTTATATATTTTTTTAATTAAAATTTTTTTAAACGTTTTTTAATGGCTTTTAAATTTTTTATAATATTTAGTTTTTATGTAAAGTAACCTATTAGGTTGTAATCATTTTATTTTGAAAGAAATTTCAACAAACTAAACTTGTTGAAAAATATGATCATATTATATGTATAAATATATATATTGTATGCAATAAAATTTATTTTATTACAAAAACTAAGAAGATTGATTGGTAAATGGAAGTTATTCAACATCGAATATTACGAATTTTTTGTATGCTCTTCCCCATATGTATAGAATAGTTGAGAGCAGATGTACCTGCAAGCAGTCGATTACGTGGCTTTTAGAATCGAGACGTCTCAATTTCACGACTTCGAACCCAAGAAAAAATTTCCCCCGCGGTTTCTCTCTTTTACTGCTTTGGACCAACCGCACATCCCCGTGGATTCACCGCCTCTTCCCAACTTATTATATCCATGGGCCAATCCGAAAGTCTATCACCCCTCTGTAAAGTCTTTCTGAAATTACGAAAGAAAGTAATCGCGCTAGAAATCAAAATACTGGCGAAGATCAGAACTCTACAATTTTTTGAATTTTTTTAAATATATAGGTACGTAAATATGACTTAAATTATTCAAAGCAGTGGCAATATTATTTTATTTCATTTTATTCCTTTTTCTTTTTGAAATAGTTCTGTACAAAGGAAACAGAAATGGACTAATAAGCCAAGCTTTAAGATTTTAAGATTTATCAAACGATTCCTATATGTACGTAGTTTTATTTTATGACAATCTAATAGTGAAACTGTCTTTTAACTGTTGACCTTTATACGTGCTATTTCCCAATCATTTATTTTGTATATTATTTTACATTTTTATTAGCATACTAAAAACGATCTTATTACAAGTCGGTACATTTGCGATTGCTACACATTTAAATTATAATATAATTGTAAGCAGTCAGCTTGGTTCATTTTTATTTCCTTTGTTTTAATCTATTCAGCCTTGAAATTATTTTTTATTGAAATAATACACGCGGAACAACAACCTCTCTAACAATAATTAAAAATGGTAATCGATTTAATAATCATGAATTGGTCCGAATGGGTCATTTCCGGCCGATAGCTTACAATTTTATAACGCTTCTTATCGAGACTTAAACATTTCTACAGCGCAAAGTTTTTGCGTTCGTTTAATTTAAAAGACTTATACGAGTCTCTTTTTATCGTGCAGATACGCATGAATTTCACTTGTCATTGTGAATTGTTATTCAATTGTTATTTAATAAATAACAGTCTATGAGTTTTTATCATTTTTATTTGATTCGTTTTGCAGTCAGCTTGGAAAACACATATCTATTAAAAATTCGATATAATATAAAGAGAGAAAGAGAGGCCAAAAAAATATATATTTAAATCAATAACAAAATACTAAAGAATATAATAAATAGAAAAGACATTATAATCGAAAAGACATCATAAACAATTATTACAGAAACAAAAGAAGCAATTGCTAAACAGACGTTTGGACCTCGCTTGGGCCATCCTCAATGTTAAAACGTATAAATTCAAATGTGATACCAATTAAATTAAAAAATAATATAATAAAATATCAATGTGAACCGACAAAAGTTATAAGTGTGTAATTTTTTAAATATAAAATTTATTCAAAACGTATACGTTTCGACCCTCGTTCGAGTCCTCTTCAGTACAAAAAAGATTAAATGTAAAAGTTTGTATATAAATAATAGCGTGTACACAAAATATAAACGTGGTAGTAATGTCCAAATTTAAGTCGAATCTTGTAATCATCTTTTTCACAATTATCTGTCAAACAGTTAATATCTTCTCTAATAACTTTCTTTTAAATTCCATTAAACTGAATAATGGAACAGTATAATGGAACTTGTACAATCTATTATAGTGTTATTTATTGAATAACAGCCTAATCTTGACGATTATTAAATCTAACAATTTGAAGATTCGACTTAAATTTGGACACTATACTATCACGTTATTATATTTTGTACGCGCTATTATTATATGCAAACTTTTATATTTAACAACATAGAAATAATAAAGGCTAAGAGCCAGTAATCCTTTACAATTTATCTTTTCTACTATTCATAACAGAATTAAATTTCATATTAACAATATTATCATGTCTAATAATAATAACACTTTTAAAAAAAAAATGTTTACTATTCCGTTTGTTAACTCGATTTCTGAAAAATTTAAACTATTGCTAATATGTTCAATTGCAAACTTGCTTACACCATACCTAACACATTAGGGAATTTCATAAAGAAAGGAAAAGATAAGTTGGAACATACACACAATCAAAATGTAGTCTACAAAATATCATGTGAGAATTGTGATGCAAGTTACGTAGGGCAAACAAAAAGACAGCTAAAAACTAGACTACATGAGCAGATATCAATAAAAGTTCAAAATCTCCATCAGTTATTTCAAACCACCGTATGGAAATGAATCACAACTTTAAATGGGATAAAATTGAAATATTAGATATAGAACCTTCTTATAAAAAAAGATTGGTATCTGAGATGGTCCATATAAACAAAAAAAAAATGTATGAACAGACAAAACGATACAAAGTCATTGCCCGAAATGTATTCGAATATGATACATTCCCTTTCGCCTTCCTAAATTGTTTTCCTTTCCCCTCTCGACACTCTATGCTACCATCGTGTTATTTCCTTCTTCACATTACGTTATCTGACATCACATAAATCAGTTTTATTCCTGCAAAGTAGCTTAAATTTTAACAATAAGATATATGATATTGGTTTCTTCGTTTTTTAATTAAAGGACGCTCAGCATTTTATTATTATTGACAAGGAACATTTTATATTCATATATTTTGTTAACTTGGATTTAATAAGTACTTATCTCTTTTTGACTATTAGAATGTAACTTTTTTGCTACCTTTTTACTCTATTGACTAGAAATATAAAATGAAGAATACGAACTCATTTATCACCACACACATTAGGATATCTTGAATTAATTATTGACTCAGATTTTAATTTTATCAATTATTATAAATTTTAATGATATCAATTTTTGTAACATTGAAAATGACCCGATCGGAGTCGAAACGTATATTTATGTAATTTATGTAATTATTATATTGTATCATATATGTATATTATGTAATTATTATATTATTTGAATTATAACCGTTACATTTACTGGCTCTTATTATTTCTATGTTGTTTTATATTTACAAAGCCTTATAATTATATTACTTTTATATTTAATCTTTTTTATACTGAAGAGGACCCGAACGAGGATCGAAACGTATACGTTATTCATTTTGAATAAATTTTATATATAAAAAAAATACACACTTATAACTTGTGTATTAGGCTCACATTAGAATTTTATTATATTATTTTTGGATTTATTCATATGAGCCTATTGATTATCTTGCTTTTTATATCTATTAAAGTTAGCTGCGATAGGAAGCCAAAGTTAACTATTTTATGGATCGCTCGAGATATTCCATTGCTCTCGTTAAATCTCACGAAGAATCATAAGTATGTTAATAACGTTAATACGTCAACATTCAGATAGCTCTTTTTTTCTCACTTCTTAGTTAGCTCCAATAATACGCACCTTGGATTTCTCGAGAAAGAAGTCGTACATCATTATTGAAAAACGGCTTCGTCATCGATTACGAAACCATTGAATTCACGTACTGATTCTACGTTTTTGCAATTTCTTTCAAATTTATCATCTCTCTTTCGAATATTTATTAAAAAATCTTCTGTCTCTTGATAAATGGCTTAACAAAAATTTCTTTCCTTCTTCTTGTAGGAAAAATAAAGATAAAGGAGGAGAAGGACGCCTCGTCGATGGCGCCAGGAAGTCCACCTACGCCTCCGCATACCCCACAAAGTCCACAACGTGCGATCCCGTCTCTTAGCAATTTATCGCAATCCTGTCAAACGTCAAACGCAAACTCACCGAATTTGCAGCAGCAACAGCAATCGCAACAGCACCAATTGCAGGAGCAACAACAGCAGCAACAACATCCCGTACATGCCATGACTAATTCACCGTTGAGTCAAATACTGGTGCAGAATCCGGCATTGGCACAATTGCTGCAACAGAATCCAGCGATCTTGTCGCAGAATCCTCAGTTAGCGCAGCTGCTACAGCAGAATTTGCAGGCCCAGATGGGCAGCGTGCTCTTTCAAAATGTCAGGCGAGAAGAGTCCGACGATTCTAGGGTAAGTTTTCCCTTCGAGAAAACGCTGAAGGAAAAGTCTTGCTGCATCAATCGGAATTCTGGTAAATCCAATCAGAAAGATACAAATCGTACTCATCTATCGAATATTATAATCGAAATAACTAGAAATTCAATTACGATATCAGAATTCTTGTTATTGATACAACCAGAACTTTTTGTCACTATAATAATAATTATTTGACTCTGGTTTCGTCCCAGGGTTCATTACACTTCAGCCGATGTGGTAGACTATAATCTCGAGCACGAAAATGTCATTTAACGCTTGAAACAGCAACTTTCACAATCGTACGATTCTAAAGATCGTTATTACGAAGAATTCGACAAAGGCGCAAATGTCAACAATTATCGAGCGTATTAAAGATTTCAAGTAGCATTGAATCGTCGCTGAGTATTTCATCAAAAGTCAGACTACCGCGGGCTATATCCAAAAACAATACGTGATGACTCATCCGACTCGCTGTCGGATCATAAAGTTACCAACGGGAGCTGTGTGAGCTAAGTGTGCTAGAATAATTCAGCGCTTCTTAGAATCGTAAGCGACGAACAATCGGTTATGATACGTCGTAATAAAAGTCGATAGAGACTGCCGCCTGGTGATCATTCGCTCGTTGAATATCTTGGAGTTTTCTGTTTTTCATCGAATTGTTTTTTATTTATTTTCACGACTCGCTTTCTCAAAAAATTCCGTATTCTCGATAGATAAAAGTACAAAATACTTCACACAATAAAATTATAATATATACACGTTTTGCACTCGATGAATTTGGAGCTCTATGTTATAAAATTCATTTTATATATCCAAGCATATCTCTCATAAGACAAGAATATTTTTATTTAAAAAATATATCTTGTTTATTATCGAAATTAGGAGAAACAAATTTTGACAATAGAAAATTTAACATTATTGCGTTATTATTACATTATGATTAATACGATTTCGCAGTACAAGTGTCTACATATGTTAGAATACCAAAGAGAGGAGACACGAAACCGTACGGACGATCCAGCTATGGGATCGCTGCCGTGGAATCCCATACAGGGAGAATTGAAATTATTCCCCCGATTTTTGTCGTGTCGTTTACATTATTTTCGCCTTTGAATATTAATGGGCATATGCTCTCCGGCGTTATGGCACAAGAAGTAACAACGGCGTATAATACTCGAGTCTTAACGTTATTCTATTGTTTGCAAATCAGCTCTATTGTTTTCTCATATACCTCTATACTCTCTCGCGCACCCCTCGCTTCGCCTCTCTCCTTGCTTCTACTCTTTTTCGTCCTTCCCCTCCTTCTCCTCCTCCACCCTTTCCTTCATCGGCGGTGTCCCCCCCCCTCTCTTCTTTCCTCTTGTATCGTCCTCTTTCTTTCTCTTATCGTTACCCATGCTCTCTTCCCTCTCTCTCTTCTTCTTTCTCGTCGCCACTCTTCTCGCCCCACCTCTGTCCCATTCCGATCTTTTTCTCTTTCTTCGCCCTCTGCCTTTCCCCCTCCGAGCCCTGATGCACACGTCCGCATTATGTACATCGTGATGCACATATTATTTTCCATTTGTTTCCTCGCGTCCGCGTTTTCTCCATGCAATTTTTTCATCCACGATAAGTGAATTAATTTAGAATGTATATCGCGATTATGAATGTATTCCCTTTTTTGTTCCACTTTTCTCTCTCCAGAATCACAACGAGACATGCAAAAAGATTTTCCCAACCATCCTCTCGATCGTTCGACGTTATTATGCGCGATACGCTGCAATCCGTAATATTAGGCACGGAAGGTCGTCGATAATTATGAACGAGGAATATAAATGTTCGATTAGAGATTGCAGAATTGATGGAACGCAATGGTCACGTACGTGAGGCGAGTTCTATTAGATTCGACGGAATTAATCGATTGTTCCGGCGCGCGCTCGATCGGGCGCACGAGGTTGCTTCTTGTTAGGAGTGAAGTTCACAGATCGGTACGAAGAATCTCAACGAATGATAATGCAATGACTCGTCGTAGCGTAATAGAATACATTTATATGTGGTATTTATAAATAAAAAGTAATTTAAATCTTTCGATAATTTACTTGCTGAGATAAAGTTTCTTCAAGTTTCAATAACAAGTCTCTTTGTTCTATTTAATTCGAAGAATAAGTAGAATCGTGAATTTTCAAGACTAACGGAAAATTCAACGTTAATGAAAGAGGAGAGAGAACGATAGAGGTAGATGGACGACGATGTAGTAACCGGTTCATAAATTCATGACATCGTTGGATCAGATCTCAGCTAAGGCTTCAGAAATCGTACAGCATTCGTGAATAATTTGAACCGCGATGGGGCTTCCGACAAGTGTCTTCCCCCGAGTAGTGTCTGCCTCTTTTAATTTTCTTCATTTTAAACAAATAGAAAATCGATCGATATAAACAACACAAATAAGCGAAGAAGTGAAAGTTTTCGATCAAAGCGGATTTCGGTACCTCTAATATTTTTTACACAAGAATGTTATTAGACAAATAAGATTAAAATAGTTGTGATATATGTAGGATAAGAAATATTTGCAAGCTTAGATAAAAGTAATATATTGAGAGTAGATTTTAGTTAGGCATTAATATAATTGTGCAAGATGTGGATGAATAGTGTGTGATTAAATAAATCTAGTCTTTTTTATCATGTAAACTGAATTAATGAATTTTATTGGCATTATTATTGCGATAATAAAATTTCTTCTGTTACTATTAAAGCTGTTATTTCCTCTTTTGATTTTAATTTCATCTGCTGAAGCATTCGATAAATGTAGTAGAATCGTAAATGAAAGAATCGAATATACAACACGTCGATATAAAAGTCAGTTACTCAAAATTGAAACGCCGCGTGGTAGATATGCCCCGGGGTAATTTCATTACTTGGTAGCAGTAGGGTTAACGAAGGATATTAAGCGGCCATTACGAATGCGCCTAAGGCCATAACGCGATTAGTTCGCGGAATAGTCGGTCTTTTGTACGATAGATTTTACGGAAACATCTCGCGTCTGCCGCGTGGGCAGCAGGTCCCCCTTTCGTTTCGTCCCCTTCGCTCGCGTACGGCCCTGGGCACGCCGGTGCATTGTACATCGTAATGTATTTCTTTTAGGTACCGCCGACAATAGCGAGCCTGGTGGCGATGAAGGTGGAGGCAGCTGACCCGATTGTTTCCGGTGAGTTACTATTTCCTTCTGCTGACGGAATTATCGGGATCGTAATTAGATTCGAATCGAGACTGCTGCGTTCGATGACCCTCTTCACGCGAACAAAAGAAAGGTGAAAAAAAAAAAAAAGAACGAACGGAAAAAGACTCGACAGTGACGGATGCGAAATCATCGAACGTTCGCCGCCGCAATCTGGTTAGACCAGGTGATTTGTAATCGACAATTTTATTCGTCGAGCGGATCTATGATTAGAACGGAGACAATGTTGCCGATCGACTGTTGCACAACTGTGCATTATAAGTCACGTGTCATATTACGGCACTAACGGCGAATTTAGTTGGACGCACTAGTGAACTCAGATGTGTTATTATTATACCCTGACTCTTAATTTAAGTATGAAAATAAGATGCAAGTATCTCGAATTAGAAAATTACATTTTAAGAATTTCGCGGTATATTTCATTTTTTATATTTATATTAAATATATTTAATACGTTGTATATTAAGCGTATATTTACATCAATTTGTGTACGATGGTTTTAGTATGTCCCAGCGCTCTTACTGAATGCGTCCCATCGAATTCGGTATAAATGTGTATTGGATTATTACTGGATGCGAGAAACGAGAGATTATCAATACTCAACAATATACTGCAATAGTATCATTCGCGTTTATATCTCGTATTCACAATTCCCTCTATCTTTCTATCTTCTAGGATGACTGTTTTGTTACGACTTAATTACTCGGTACGATGTACACGTACATAATATATATAAGAAGCAGATCATTAAAAGAGCGATAAAAATATTAAGATAGAGGATAACTTTTTTCTTAAACTATTAGCGCTGTCATATTTCAAAGATTATGCGCCTCGATCAATTAAGCGGTTCTCTTTACGAATTGACAGATGCGATCATTAGGAATCGCCGATGTCGATATTACTCACAGTCGTAGCGCGATAGTGGGGCTTAATTAAATTGTATTTGCACGAAATTGATGGTTATAGATATCAAAACGAGGCCATTAAACTTCTCTGTTAACGTATGTCGAACAGGTGCAGGCTGGTGGCGCACATACAACGGCGATAATTGTTAAAGTCATAAATTGTTATAATTAGTGACGACCATCGGTAGAATTCGGTGATCGAGAAGCGTCACACTTCACCTAAATAGATCAGGATGTTGGGATCACTCTCTTTTTCTTTTTCCTCCGAAGACTTGTCTCATTTATTGAACTTGCGTTTAGTGATAAGATGATGCTAATCCTTTATTTTCAAGTTTAACGAGTTTGCAAACATGTAATCTGATCTGATAATATCCAAATTACACGGTGTATATATGTATATTGCTTGATTCCGAGAAGTTTACTCGATACGTTTAACGGAGAGAAGCTTATTTATTTGGAAGATTAATTTTGAAGTATGTTAAATGATAGTGGTACTATAGACAAATTATGCTAGCAACTAGCGAGAAAGTAATCTAAGATATCAGTTTGAAAGTGAAAATAAAAGCGACGTTATTTATCTTATACGTGGGCAGCTGTACTGTAGGACCTACTGTTCGAGATAACAATCTTGGTAAACGACAGACTGATAGCGATTCCAGAAAGCTCACGTCTGTAGCGAACCTAGTCTAATTTTCAAATTACCAATCTCGCACAGCTACATCATACGTTTACGTTTGCACGTCGTTGATGGTCATCTTCTTCACGATGTAATGAAGGCACCTCATCGACGCGAAGACAAGGTGGCCAGCGGCACGTCGCTGTCAAACGTGAAGAATTAAAAGGACGATGACGGCAGTATCGGGAGCGTGCGAGGGGGGGGGGGAAACAGGGGGGACAGCATCTTCAGTGAGGAGAAGGAGGGGTAGGAGGAAGAGGACGGGGTGTGCAGGAGGGAAGGAGGAGGGAGGGAGGGACGAGAGAGGAGAGTCGAAGACACTGCGAGAAAGAGAGAATAATGCGTTAAAGCAGCAACCAGCAACTACTCTAATTGGCCACTTTGTCCATTTATTCGATTTATTTAAATTATGGGACAATTGACAGTAGGCATTCTATTTTTTAAATCTCCCCGGCCACAACCGGCTGATTGGGCAAGATTGGCGTGAGACACTGGCCCCACAGATTCCCCAGTTGTGGGCTTAATCAGCTTTGATTGCTAGCATCTCTCTTTCTCTCTCTCTCTTTCTCTATCGTTCTCTCTCTCGCTCTCTCTCTCTCTCTCTCTCTCTCTCTCTCTCTCTCTTTCTCTGTCCTCTCTCATCCGCATCTCTTTCTCTCAGCGTTTTCTTTCTCTTTCCCTTTCCACGTACGCATACATTCACGTCTCCGTCTTTCTCTCACGTGTCCACGTTCTCTTTCTCTCACCGATATAACCCTTGCCTCCGCGTCCGCTTGCTTAGTCCGCGCGCGAACAACGTACACATTTTATTTTATTCCATTTCGCAGCAGATCCCACCACGCGTTTAATATCGTCCGGCTGACGTTGGATTGGCCGATCCGAAATTGTGGGAATATGTCACTGGACGAGAAAATCCAACGGAGGCCGCCCACTCTCTCTTTCTCTACTTGATGTTCTTTCTCTGCGTGTGCCCCTCTTCGTCGTGAATGCCGTGATTTCCGTCGCAGAATCTTTTCGTTTTCGACGGGACGGGAATTGTGCGATAGACCGCAGATTAAAGTATTCAGAGTATTTAAATTTCACCGAGCCGGGCCTTCAAATAGCACGGAAAAGATTAGAGAAAGATGAATGAATCCTGCGTTTCTTTTATCACTGGTTGAAGTAACCCGCCACCTCCCCTCCCGCCCTCCCTCGGACCTCTCGTGGGAGCCGCGTTGGCACTCATCCTATTTCCTTGATAATTCCCATAATGCTGTGGGCGGATATTCCAATAAAGGGGGAACAGCCCCTGGGTACAAAACACTGAAAGCGGACGGCCGCGATTCGTTAGGTTGCGCCACAATTCACGGGTTCGCGAGGATCGAGACAAATAAAGGCCGCAGGGAGAGCCGACGACACTCCAGAGCCGGCTTACGAATAGCTTCAGATTTGTCACGTGGCACGCAGGAATGCGCGATAATTACTCAAAGATGCGGGCCCCCTGTGCTCTTGGCGCACGCTGGTTGCGCGATTTCTCCAGGCTGGTTCTCCACGCCTAGCAACCAATTATTAATTCCCGTTGGGAGATCCGCTTTGAAGGAGAAACGGAAATGAATTCTTCCGAGAGAGGAAACATTTTGTAGCAAATTTCTGCATTAAGATCGTACGAGAACACGCGAAATTGGCTCTAATAAAATTTCCAAGGCTTTTGAATAGAAATTGCAATTTTACGGAAGAATATTCAATCTGTCGTACACAAAACCGATTGCTTCCGCAGCTGGAATACGTGCGGCTAAACTTTTAAACGGCGGACGCGCGAATGCATACCGATTATTTTTATCCCGATTCTATTAAAGGTCAAGCGTGTGTAGGATATTGGATTAATAACATTGTTTCCGTTCCAACCATTAATTTCGTGCAAATACAATTTAATTAAGCCCCGCTATCGCGCTACGATTGTGAGTAATGCAAGTAAAAAGACATCGTCGATTCCTAATGATCGCATCTGTCAATTCGTAAAGAGAACCGCTTAATTGATCGAAGCGTATAATCCTTGAAATATGACAGAGCTAATAGTTTAAGAAAAAAATTATCCTCTATCTTAATATTTTTATCGTTCTTTTAATATGATCTGCTTTCTATATATATATATATTATGTACGTGTACATTATATCGAGTAATTAAGTTTTAACGAAACAGTCATCCTAGAAGACAGAAAGATTGGGGGAATTGTGAATACGAAATATAAACGCGAACGATACTATTGCAGTATATTATACAGCATAATCTCTCGTTTCTTGCATCGATCCAGTAATAGTCTGATACACACTTATGTCGAATTCGATTGGATGCATTCAGTGAGCGCTAGGTATTAAAACCATCGTATAGATAGTAAAGATGTATATTTAATATAAATACAGTTACAGTGCGTCCAATTAAATTCACTGTTAGTGCCGCACTATAACACGTGACTTAGAATGTACAAGCCGTTTAATGCAAATATCATATATATATTTTTAATAATTTTGATGTAGAAGAGAATTGGAAAATTGCGAATATCTAAGATTAAGGAAGAAAAAGCCGAAGATTATTTATCAATTATATAAACCTTTTTTGACGAATATTATTCTAACTACAATAATTAACACTTATATATCATGTAATATAAATTATAATTTTTTCAAGAGAAAAACCGATTCGATATTAACGATATCCTGCATAACGGTGGGTAATTTCGAATGTCAAAATAAATTTTGTTTTTTATTTAATTTGTAATTTATGTTAACAATATATAAATATTAATTATTGTAGTTTAAAATCAAATAAGTGGACTTTCTTCTGAATGGAAATTTTTATTATTTTTGATTAATTGTCAACTTTATTTAACTTTTCCCTCCCTTAGAAGTTCGCAGTTTTCCTATTCTTCCCTGTATAATTGTTAGAATTATGTTTTTCTCTGATAAAGTATTGAGGGAGGTATTGTTATTTAAACGACTCCGTTAACACATCTAATTACACGAAACAGATTCGTTAACGTGAAAACACGAGTCTGGAAATGGATAGTGTAAGTGTTCTGCATAGATGCGGGTTGCCGGTCTGGGCAAGAGCGGCCGAGCAAGCAAATAACAAATAAAGCATATACAGGAGCTTACGATAAATAACTGGTGCACTGCTCTCTACATATAGTACCGGCTATGAACCCTCCAGGGCCTCGTTGCTTTTTCTCCCGCTGACTCCACCATCCCTGCGAGAGAACGATCCACCCACTAGATTATCTTTCGGATCCGCGTACTTACAACAATTCAGGCACCGAAGAGTTAAAGTCTCGGCGATCTTTAGTTTCCGTTCGCAAGGCGCAGACGCGGGCAAGAATTTTTAATTTTGGCTCTGTTTTTTAGCACTGACGAGA